ACAATTCAAAGGATCAAGGGAACAAAGAGCTGGTTTTTTGAAAAGATTAACAAGATTGATGGACCCTTAGCTAGACTCACCAAGAAACAAAGAGAGAGAACCCAAATACACAAAATCAGAAATGAAAGAGGAGAAGTAACAACCAACACCACGGAAATACAAAAGATCGTTAACAACTACTATGAACAACTATATGGCAACAAATTCGACAATCTAAGCGAAATGGACAAATTTCTGGATACACACAGACTCCCAAAACTGGACCTGGAAGAGATAGAAAACTTGAACAGACCAATAACAACTAAGGAAATTGAAGAGGTAATCAAGACTCTCCCAGGAAACAAAAGCCCAGGCCCAGATGGCTTCACGGGGGAGTTTTACCGAACATTCAAAAAAGAACTAACACCCATTCTCCTCAAACTATTTCAAAAAATTCAAGAAGAACGAAGACTTCCAAACACGTTCTATGAGGCCAGCATAATTCTAATTACAAAAGCAGGAAAAGACACTACGAAGAAAGAAAACTACAGGCCAATATCCCTGATGAACATAAACGCCAAAATCCTGAACAAAATATTAGCAAATAAGATCCAGAAATACATCAAAAAAATTATTCACCACGACCAAGTGGGATTCATTCCAGGGATGCAAGGCTGGTACAATATTCGCAAATCAATAAATATGATTCACCACATAAACAAAATGAAGAATAAAAACCACATGATCATATCAATATATGCTGAAAAAGCATTTGACAAAATCCAGCATCCATTTCTGATAAAAACGCTCAGCAATGTGGGAATAGAGGGATCATATCTCGACATAATAAAGGCAATATATGAAAGACCTACAGCCAACATCATACTCAATGGACAGAAACTAAAAACATTTCCATTAAGAACAGGAACAAGACAGGGATGCCCACTTTCGCCACTCTTATTTAACATTGTACTGAAAGTCTTAGCAACAGCAATCAGACATGAAGAAAAAATAAAAGGGATCCAAATTGGAAAGGAGGAAGTGAAACTGTCATTATTTGCAGATGACATGATATTATACATAGAAAACCCGAAAGACTCCATCAGAAATCTACTAGACTTAATAAATGAATTTGGAAAAGTAGCAGGATACAAAATTAACGTCAAGAAATCGACGGCATCCTTGTACACCAATGATGAACTCACAGAAAGAGAAACTGAAAAGACAATCCCATTTACCATCGTGCCAAAAAAATTAAGATACCTAGGAATAAACTTAACCAAAGAAGTAAAGGACCTATTTGCATAAAACTACAGGTCATTGAAAAAAGAAATAGAGGAAGATATAAAAAAGTGGAAGCACATACCCTGTTCATGGATTGGAAGAATTAACATCATTAAAATGTCCATACTACCCAAAGCAATCTATAGATTCAATGCAATCCCCATCAAAATACCAACGACATATTTCATAGAACTAGAACAAATACTTCAAAAGTTCATATGGAACCAAAAAAGACCCCGAATAGCCACAGCAATCTTGAAAAAAAAGAACAAAGTAGGTGGGATCACAATACCAGATATCAGGTTATACTACAAATCGACTGTAACCAAAACAGCCTGGTACTGGCACAAGAACAGGCATATAGACCAGTGGAACAGAACTGAAAACCCAAAAATGGACCCAAAGCAATAAGCTCAATTAATATTTGACAAAGGTGGCAAGAGCATACAGTGGAGTAAAGACAGCCTCTTTAATAAATGGTGTTGGGAAAATTGGACAGCTACATGCAAAAAAATGAAACTAGACCATCTACTTACACCATACACAAAAATAAACTCAAAATGGATAAAAGACTTAAATGTGACCCATAAATCCATAAAAATTCTAGAAGAAAATGTAGGCAACAAAATTTCAGACATCATATGGAACAGAATTTTCACTGATACATCACCTAAGGCAACAGAAACAAAGGAAAAAATGAACACATGGGACTACATCAAACTCAAAAGCTTCTGCACAGCAAAAGAAACAATCAACAAAATGGAAAGGCAACCCACTGTATGGGAGAACATCATTGCCAATGATGTATCAGATAAGGGGTTAATTTCCAATATATATAGAGTGCTCATACAACTCCACAAAAGGAAGACAAAGAACCCAATTAAAAAATGGGCAGAGGAGCTGAATAGACACCTCTCCAAACAGGACATACAAATGGCCAAGAGACATATGAAGAAATGCTCAACATCACTAATCATCAGAGAGATGCAAATTAAAACAACAATGAGGTATCACCTCACACCTGTCAGAATGGCCGCCATCAACAAATCATCAAACAACAAGTGTTGGCGAGGGTGTGGAGAAAAGGGGACTCTAATACACTGCTGGTGGGAATGCAGACTGGTGCAGCCGCTATGGAAAACAATATGGTGCTACCTCAAAAAATTAAAAATTGAACTTCCATTTGACCCAGTGATCCCACTACTGGGAATATACCCTAAGAAGCCTGAAACACCAATCAGGAAGAATATATGTACCCCCATGTTCATAGCAGCACTATTTACAATAGCTAAGATCTGGAAACAGCCCAAGTGTCCACCAGTAGATGAATGGATCAAAAAGCTGTGGTACATATACACAATGGAGTACTATGCAGCGGTAAGAAAGAAAGATCTCTTATCCTTTGAGACGACATGGAGGGACCTGGAAAGTATTATCCTAAGTGAAATAAGCCAAGCAGAAAAAGACAAATACCACATGATCTCACTTATATACGGAATATAATGAACATAACAGTCTGAGGAATACAGTAGTCCCAGAAACATGGAAGTAGGGCACAGACTGACATCCCTCAGAAGAGGGGGTGGGGGGGGGTGGGAAGAGATAAACCACAGAACTTATATGCATGTATGCATGACCAATGGACATGGACAACTAAGCCGGGGACGGGGTGGGGGTGGGGTGGGGAGGGGGGTGCCAATGGGGTAAAAAAGGTAAAATATCTGTAACAAAAAAATAAATAAAATAAAATAAAAATTGATGAATAAAATAGAAACAGAGGCATGGAAACATGGAACAGACTAAGAAACCTCAGAGGGAAGGAGAAAAAGGAAGAGATTAACCAAAGAATTTACATGCATATATGTACTACCCACGGACACAGACTAAAATATAAGACAATTCACAGAAAAACAAGATTTTCACAGAAAAAAAGGAAATAAAAAAGAAAACGACCTTCTGATGCAGAACGTGTAACCTGAAAGACCAAAGCTGGTGCCACCAGCACCCCCACCTGTCCCTGACCTCTTGGGAGCATCTGCTCCAGGCCTCTAGGTGTCCGGAATGGCGCCCCTACAGAGCACAGCGCCTGGGCTGCTGGCCCTGCTCTGGTGGCTGCGACACAATGCGGCAGGACAGCTTTCCCGCAGCCACCTCTGAGGCAGGCCTGTGGCCCACAAAAAAAGCCCGCCTCCCATCCTCGACTCCAGCTCCCCCGCGCACCCACCTTGGGCTCCAGTGCCCGGATCCCGCAGCGTCTTGGTCACCGCCTTCCAGGCGGGGCAACCCTGCAGGCAAAGCATGAGCCCGGCTGATCTGCTAATCTCCACGCTGGTGGTACAGCCGGCTCGGCCTCGCAGACCCCAGTAGGACCAGGACCAGTGGCGTGTCAGGCAGCTGTGCCAGCCTCCAAGTAGTTAGTCTCTGCGAGTATGGGACCGCCCTCCAATGGGCGCCCCCACCCTGTGTAGTGCTGGGGTTGGTAACCAACCTCTGCACACCCCTGTAGGTTCCTGGAAGCTTGGGTGCCCTGCCCTGCCTACAGGCCACGCCCAGTTCCTGGGTCCTGGTGCCATCTGGAAGCCGCCACACCATGGAGGACTGGAGGACTGTGAGCCCGGAGCCTGACCCCTGCCATGCAATGATGTCCTTTGCTCCCTGCACCTCCAAGGGCCTGTCAGCTCTACTAGAATAAGGAAGCTCGACCTCTGGCACCTATTCAGCCCGCATCCCCACCATTCCCCACCGTTTGGGGGGGAAAACACCTGCCTTTCTTCTTACAAGTTATTAGAAAACTGTAGGTAATTTTAATAAAATCACTTCAAGAATTTGGTTAAATATAAAAACCAATACAGTACATTCTAAAATAATTTTCTGTTGAGTTAAATTCGTCTGTAATTCCTGTAACAACATGCTCATATTCATAAAATCTAAATAAAAAGCAAACACAATTTTCCATTTCTGACACAAGGTAGTTCAAAAGTTCATTTTGAAGGGGACTGAGTTTTTTATCTAATTTTACTTTTAATACCAAGTATAATTATATAGTTGCTCAGAAATTGAAGCGTTACATTTTTATTTAACAAAATACTGCCGCTCTGAAATAAATGTCATTAGCATGATAACGTTAAAAACAAAGACCACAAAAATACAAACTGCATTTTTAAAAGTTTATAATCATTTAAATTCTGATTCTACCTGTACATTTACAATTCTCTACTCTTAAGATTTTTAAAAAACCATTTTATATATGGACAATTTGGAGCATAATTAAGTGTATCTTAATGAAGTTTCCACTGATGTATGTAGAAATATGGTTTACCAGCAGCCAAATAACATCATTTCTTTATCAAAGATCAATTGGTACTATCTAGAAATAAGGACAATTCTTCAACAATTTCATTTTTTTCTAAGTAAAAACACTTCCAAGGAGCTAAAGGCACAATTTTATTCACATCTAGTACAGTAACAAACCATAAAATCATTACTTATGTGCAACTTAATAACTGATGGACATTTCTCAAACAAGCTGTTTTCAGTCATCATAGTTTTTTATTTAACACAGTTACTATGAATTACTAACTTGCAATAGGTGTCATCATGAGAATAACCAAAATTAGATAAATGTGATAAAAGGCTGACAAAGAGTTTCACACACTTGAGTGATATCACGTCAAGAATGGGAGAGAAGTGTTGCCAAAGGAGAGTACTGCAATGCTACTAATATTCTTGCAGTAAAATCAGCAACGTAACCATTTGAAGAGAGTTATCATCTCAATTCCAATTTTTTCCCCTCAAGAACAATTTGAATTTCTTTGGCATCCAAAGTCTCATAAGTCAATAAAGCTTCTGCTAGATTCTTATGCTCTTTTGCGTGAGTCTTCAAGATATGTTTTGCTCGTTCATATGAGTCCTAAAAAAGAAAAGCAGATATGTAAGAGGCAGAAAACTTAGGAGAAGCAAAAACTGTACATGAGAAAAGAAAACCTCATTACAAACCCTAAGAATGTAAAATCTATTCATTTCTACTTATGAAAAAGCACTTTTTACAATTTTATTATTGATTTTAGAGAGAAAAGGAGAGAAACATTGATTTGTTGTTCCCCTTATTGATATATTCATTGGCTGATTCCTTTTTTTCTTTTTTAATCCTCACCAGAGGACATGCTTAGAGAAAGGGAGGGAAAGAGAAAGAAAGAAACATGGCGTGTGAGAGAAACACCGATCGGTTGCCCTCCTTATGTGCCTAAACCAAGAATCGAACATGCAACCTTTTAGTGCACAGGATGATGTTCAACCAACTGAGCCACTCCAGGAAGAACATTGGTTGATTCTTGTATGTGCCCTGACCAGGGATCAAACCTGCAATTTGGCATATCAGGACAATGCTCTAACCAAGTAAGCTATCCAGCCAGGGCAAATAAAAACATGTATTTTATTTATTTATTTTGTGTGTGTGTGTGTGTGTGTGTGGTATGTGCCCCTAGTGGGAACTGAACCCGGGACTCTCTGGTCTGCAGGCCGATGCCCAACCGCTGAGCCAAACTGGCCAGGGCCAGATAAAAACACTTAAAAGTGTGGTTCCCAAAGATAACTCTTTTGTACTTCCCAAATGTTTTATTTTTAACTACAAAATCTATCACATAAGAAATGATTACTTTAGATAAAAAGCTACTTTAAAAACTTAAAGTATACTTTGTACTTATCTGATTTTTATATATTTAAAAAAAATTTTTTTTCTTTATTGATTTTAGAGAGGAAAGGAGAGGGAGAAAGAGAGAGAGAGATGGAAACATCGATGAGAGAGAACATCGACCAGCCACTTCCTCATGTGCCCTGACCAGAAATCGAACCAGCGACCTCTCGGTGCATGGGTTGATGCTCAACTACTGAGCCACACCGGCTGGGCCTTGTCTGATTTTTAAATAAGGCCTGTGAACAAAGAAATCAGTATATAAGTTTTAAAAGAAGGAAATTTGCTCCTTCTGCCTCTTGATTTCACCAGTTTATTTAATCTAGAATGGTCAGGTAAGATCTACCATTCCATTTTCTTACTGGGTAATATACTCAGTTGTCAATTTGTGATAACTATAACAGCATTATTACAGCTGATCCTTGATTTTTATACATTTTTCTTTAAGACCCATCTTGAATTTCTCACTTAAATCCTTTCATTGTATTTCCAAAAGTGAGTTTGGATTACGTTTATTAGGTCATAAAATGAAAGCACTACTAACAGTTAGTTTTTGGCAGTGTCACATTTGTCTGTTCAATGTTTTTGCCAATATTTGAGTATTTGCTTCTATTTTTGCCCCTATAAAAAATGTAAAAATGAATTTACCAACACTAAGAAGCACTGGTCATATAAACATAATGCAATGATTACATTTGAACCTAAAATGCTATTAATCAGGAATCATTTTCACTTAGTAAAAATGTACTTGTCGTCTAGAAGAAAGAGTACCTGCCTTCCCAAGCTATCATTCCAGAAGGAAAGAACCTGATTTTGGCCATTCTGTTCTGAGGTTTCAGAATAGTATTACAGAAAAGGAAGAGTATTTCTGATGCTCTAGGAATAATAAAGCATAGATAATTTACTCAGAACAACAAAAACAGTAAACTATGGAAAAAGAATTAAGATTCTGGGAAGTCAGAGACTTCTTCTGAAACACCTTCTAAACCTTTCCGTTTCATAAACTTCCCATATCCTTCACTACTCGAAAGCATTCTTCTACCACCTTTGGGTTAATCAAACACCTGGCCCTCCTGAGGAGACTGCTTTTTCTAAGCCCCCAATTATTTATTCACTCTCACCCAGATACCTCAGCGCAGAGGTGAGCTCTTTGTTCCCATCACACCTCCAGACCATTACTGCACAGCCTCTTCCATCAGGCACTATTCCATTGAAGTTCATACTCTTTGACAAGAGCCTGGCCCAACACCCTCACTGTGCCACCTGAGTCATTCACTAAATACTTCTGGCACTCAGCTCGGTCTCCTTCTCCGTCCACAACCACCTTCATGCTGCCCAAATGGAACACACATCCAGCCTCTGAACTAGCTCCAGGCCCACGCATCTCTCTCAACCTCCAATCTTCACTAACACACCTCAAATTCAGCATGTATGAGACTGAATTCATGATCCACATCCTTCCCCGTCTTAGGCCACCACCAGTGTTTACTCAATTAATGACACAATAATTATAGTTACATGAGGTAGAAAATTTTTTTTTAATTTTATTTTTAGATTTAACTAGCTGCTCTCTGAACCAAAACATCACAAAGACATTTGATTCCACTACATCAGTATCTCTTGAACCGACTCATGTTTCACAATTTCCACTTTTCACCACTTTAATCCAAACATCCATTATACCATGACAAGATTATCACAGTACCTACTAGCTGATCTCACTGAATCTACTCTTACATATTCTTTTACCCTAATCTGTACTCGACACTGCAGTCAAAATGACCTTTGTTTTGCCCTGGCTGGTTTGGCTCAGCAGTTACAGTGTCAGCCTGTGGACCAGGGGTCTTGGGTTCAATACATGGCCAAGGACAGGTTTGATCTCCTGTCCTGGTCGGGGTCATGCAGGAGATAATCAATCAATGTCTCTCTCTTACACTGATGTTTCCCTCTCTCTCTTCCTCCATCCCCTTCCACTCTATCTAAAAATCAATGGAAAAATATCCTCTGCCTGACTGGTGTGGCTCAGTGGCTGAGCATCAACCCATGCACCAAGAGGTCACCGGTTTGATTCCCAATCAGGGCACATGCCCAGGTTGTGGGCCAAATCCCCAGTAGGGGGCATGCAGTAGGTGGCCAATTGATGTACTCACTCATTGATGTTTCTATCTCTCTCCCTCTCCCTTCCTCTCTCTAAAATCAATAAAGAAAAAAAATATATACACACACACACACATATCTATATATAACCTCAGGTGCAAATTAACCAAAAAAAAAAAAAGACCTTTGTTTTTCTTATTCTGTATTCTCAGCACATGCACACTGTGAGGCACAAGCAAATAACGACATGTTGAATAATATGTATCAGAATGGAAAAACAATAAAGACTCAATAATCAATATCCCCCTTTCTAATACCTCATACAGTTTTGCAGATAAAGGATGGCTAAATATTTATAATCACTGATATAAACTGTTCTTAGTCTATGGCCAGAATAAAATAAGGATCCAGTCTATGACCAGAGGTTCTCTAACAAAATATTTAAATCATGGTTGCAATAGTACACCTATTATCTTTATTACATACAGTCACATTTCTAAAGAGCAAAAGCCTTCAGTTATCATTTGTTAAGCACCCAACTATTTAGGCCCATTATGACTAAATAAATAAGCATAGAAAAATATGATCATTACCTTCAGAAGGATTCTGATTTCTTGCTCAATAGCTGATTGCGTTTCTGGACTCAGTTTCCCTGTATCACTGTATGTCATAACTCCAAGCTAAATCAAATGGGAAGATATTCAACAGGAAAACAAAAACAAAACACTAATAAATTTAGCAGAGGAAGTACTATCCTATATGCAATAAAAGAAATTCCATGGTGGGGGGAGGATGAGAAAGTCACTATAAAAATGGCCTTAAAGGCAAAGAAATTTCATCATTTGTCTGAAAGTATAACACTAAAACTAAAGTGTGAACAAGACAATTTAAAATCATAAGCAAGCTTGGGAGTGCCTCCTTAGAAAATCTTGGCAACTATTCCGAGTCCAGAAATCCACAATTCAGAGTATTAGAATTACTTCATAAGCCATAGTAATAATGCAAGAACGTAAAGTACGTGTAATGGGTCAACTAAGGCTGTCTCAGCAAGTAGGTCTTTTATGTCATATGAACAGAAAGGAATAAAGATATTGTCTTATCATTTGGTTAACTCATGAAGTAATAACTGTTACTATTCAAGCAGCTAGAACTGAACAGAATGCTACATTTGATTACTCAGAAAATAAGGGTTAGTTTAGAACAAGCCAGGACAAATCCCTTTGGAATGAGACAGAGAAAAGTAAATATTATCAATTTATAATAAGTACCCTCTCTAAGGAGACACTTGGCACATATCATTTGAGACATGAGGAAGATTAAAATTAACCAATACCTTTTCACTCATTCCAAATTTAGTAACCATCCACTTTGCTATTTTAGTTGCATTATCAAAATCACTGGAAGCACCTAAAATTGAAAAATAAACATAGAACTCATTTTTTAAAATATCTTGAAACCAACAAACACAATTTGAACTAATTGTGAGAGAGAGGAACAGAGAGAGATAGAGAAACATCGATATGAAAGGGACACATCGAGTGGCTGCCACCCACACGACCGACAAGGCCGGGGACAAACTGCAACCGAGCTATATGCCCTTAGCGGGAACCGAACCCAGGTCTCTCCGGACACAGGCCGATGCTCTAACCGCAGAGCCAAACCAGCCAGGGCTCATTGAGAAATATTTTAAACAAAGTAAAAGTTTAAAAATAAGTAGAATTCCACAACACATATAAATGACAACAATGTCAACTGAAAACCAAAATTGTTAGAACTATCATCTTACTCCTTACAGCAAAGGGGTAAGCTGAATCCTATTTCTAGATAATACATTTCTAATTTAAAAGAATGTCATAGTTAACCTGTTTTGAAGCCAACTCAAGATTTAAAATAAAAAGTAAACACTAAAAAGAATAAAATTAACTATTACTTCATCAGCAATATTAGACATGAGTAAAAATATGGGCACCCATGGCCCCCCAAAATGTGCCATCATATAATATATAATCTGTTTGTTAGAGACTAAATTGTTTTGCTATGTTCAAATATACATTTTCATGTCCCTATACCTTTGTTTTTATTTTATTATTAATCTTCACCCAAGAATACTTTTTCCATTGATTTTTACAGAGTAGAAAGGAGGGAAGGAAAGAAAGACATCCATTGGTTGTCTTCTGCACGACCCCAACTGTGGTGGGGATCAAACCTGCAACCCAGATACGTGCCCTTGACTGGATATCGAACCCATGAACCTCACACATTTGTGGGGCCCAACGCTCTAACCACTGAGGGACACTGGCCAGGGCTACCTTTGTTTTAAAAACCTCTCAAAATGAAGAATTTATTCTCTAGTATAAGTATACTAGAATAGTATTAGAGAAAAAAAGAAAGCCTACCCATTAGAATTTTGTCTTTGGAGAACTCTAGTTCTTTCATGGTAACCATTTCTTTTCCATCAACAGCTGCCTTTAAAGCAGCTTGGTTCACAAGATTTTCCAACTCTGCTCCAGAAAAGCCAACAGTACCTCGAGCTATGATTTCTGGTTCAACAGCTACATAGATACAACACAATACATTAATGTCCCAAAACAGCTAATAGAAAATTTTTCAGAAAGAAATAAAATTTCAAAAAAAAAGAAAACAGTCATCGTAAACTATAATTTAAAATATTTATCTTAACAAAACTAAAAAACAAACTTACTTTATTAAGTTCTAAGGAAAAAGCCAAAATTGCTATTAAATATGCCATTAAAATTGCCATTAGGACAAACCAAACCAAAAAAGTTCTTAAATTTAAATAACCTTGTCAAAAATAAAGAAATGTAGACTTATCAGGTGATTTTAAAACATTCAATTATGACTACTATCATTACTGGCTTAATGACCAATCAAAAAAGCATACTCATAGATATTTTTATTTTCTATATTTCATCTTGAAATACTTTGGACATAAAAGCTGCTTTTATTATGAGAAATATATTTGGTTTTATGAATTTCCTGATATATCTTTGAAAGTACTGTAGCTTTAATAGCTGCTTTTATTACTCAGGTTGGTCCATGATCTTTTATTTCCATGTGTTTTGTTTTATAGGTGGCTTTACCCTTCTTTGGCACCAAAGTGACTATATCATGAGGCACTGTGCTCATAATATAAAAATGCTTTGTCTATTATTTTATATTTTACATTCATCTTAAAAAATATACATACATTCATCTTCAAGTATTATCTATCTGAATACTCAAAAGAAAACCTTCATTAGAATCAGAATTCAAAATGATAAAATCTCCTGGATATTCATTAATTATGAAATTGACTTTTTTTAAAAAAGGATATATAAATGGAAGAATAGAAGACATATAATGTAACCGGTCTTTTAAGAAATTGCTCAAGTAAGAACCACAAACAGGGTGGATTGACATATTTCCATTTTATGAAGATAACAATGTTTGTATCATGGAATTAAACTTACACTGATCAAACTTTATTTTATTGAGATACCATTTCAAAATTTCTGTTTGACCTCTTACATCTGGCCTTGGAACTGTTACCTGCATCTCAAAACAACCAGGACAAATTAAGGTGCTAAAGAAACAATACAAAAAAGAACAAAAGAAAATTAGTAAGCTGACTACTGAAGATCAAGTTAAACAGGATGACATTAAGGAGAGGTTGGAAAGACAATGCAACCAAAGGTTAGATGGAGTTTTGAATATAAAAGTAAGTAGATAGTTCCTTATAAAATATGACTCAAATAAATTTCAATAATCAGAAGAAAGAAGAAAGGTATACATAGATATGTGTGTGTCTATAGATAGTACACACCCCTCAGAAACAAAAATGTGCAAGTTAGGGAATAATTCTATAGCACTCTATTATGAGAAATACATACCCATCTAAAATGCCGTAAGTATAAAATGTTAAATTTGATCTCATAATTTGTCTCAGGCAGACAAATTATTAGATCAAATAAAAATATGAACAGCTTCTATAACAAAATCAACAAAAATTTAAAACTATATTAAATTTATTATTATTATTTTTATCCTCACCCAAGGACATTTTTGCATTTATCTTCAGAAAGAGCGAGAGAGAGAGAGGGAGAAAGAGAGAAACATCGATGTGAGAGAGACACATCAACTGGTTGTCACCCACACGACCCCAGCTGGGGCCGGGGACAAACTGCAACCGAGGTACGTGACCTTAGCGGAAACCAAACCCAGGCCTCTGGTCCGTGGGCCGACATCTCTAACTGCTGAGCCAAACTGGCCAGGGCCTAAATTTACTTTAAAAATGTTCTCCAGCCCTCGTTGGTTTTGCTCAGCGGGTAGAGACCCGGGTTCGGTTCCTGCTGAGGGCATGTACCTCGGTTGCAGTTTGTCCCCAGCTCTGCTTGGGTCGTGCAGATGGTGGCCACTCAATGTGTCCCTTTCACATTGATGTTTCTCTCTCTCTCTCCCTCCCACTCTATCTGAATAAAAAATGAAAAAAGGTCCTCAGATGAGGATAAAAAAAAAAAAAAAGTTCTCCATCTGCCCTGTTGGTGTGGCTCAGTGGTCGAGGGTTCAATTCCTGGTCAGGGCACATGCCCAGGTTGTGGACCTGTTCCCCAGTGGGGGGCATGCAGGAGGTGGCCAATCAATGTGCTCGCTCATAGATGTTTCTATCTCTCTCTCCCTCTTCCTTCCTCTCTAAAATCAATTAAAAAAAAAAACTGCTCTCCACCCAAAAAAGGTTTTGTGATATATAAGTTGGCAGAAGGTTCTTTTAACAGCTTTACTGAGATATAATTCACATACCACCAAATTTGAAGTAAATACCAACATTCTCCGAGCATGCCCACACCTTTCCCCCTCCTCTCTGTATGCCCCAGGCTCATTATCTCTGTTATCTCGGCCTTTCTTTTTCCTAAGCTCCAAGTGCCCTTCTTCTGCCTATGTAACTTGTTTCCTATACCTATGGAGTCCAGTTGCCTCACCTTTTCTACCTCTGTAACTTTCTAAATAAAGTGTCTTTTGAATTTGAAAAATAAAGTGGATAATCCACAGGTTTTTAACATAGAATTCTGCAACCATCACCACAACCTAATTTTAGAATATTTTCATCTCCCCCCTCAAAACAAAACAAAACAAAACAAAACAAAACAAAACAAAAAAACACATATCCACCTGGTAGTCACTCCCTATTCACCCCAGCTTCTAGCAACCACTAATCTATCTACTTTCTGTTACCACGGATTTACTTATACTGGACATTTCATATAAATAGAACTATATATAATATGTAATGTTTTGTGATTGGCTCCCTTCTCTCAGCATCATGTTTTTAAAGTTCATCCATGCGCCCTGGTCAGTTTGGCTCAGTAGTTCGAGCACTGGCCCGCAGACCAAAGAGTCACGAGTTCAATTCCAGTCAAGGGCACGTATCTCAGTTGCAGTTTGGTCCCCAGCCCTGGTCTGGGTCATGTGGGAGGCAACCAGTCAATGTGTCTCTCTCACGTCAATGTTTCTCTCTCACACTCTCTTCCTCTCTCCCTTTCTCCCTCCTACTCTATCTGAAGATGAATAGAAAAACATCCTTGGGTGAGGATTTAAAAAATAAAAAATAAATAAAGTTCATCCATATTCCAGCATGTATCAGTACTTCACAAAAGCTGTTTTTAATACTTACGTATCTAATGCCTCTGGGAAGTTTGTGTGATAACTCCTTCATTGGGTTTAAAACTAAAAAAAAAAAAAAAGTACCTTTTCTCTAAAAATTGTAAGAGCACACATATAGAAATGTTTGACACAAAACTATTTATCACTGATATTAATAACAACAAAGAAAAAGGATTGATTTTATGTCCCAAATAATATCTCTACTTTTTAAAAGGAACAACTGTTAGGCCAGTGTACTTCAACTGCTAATAATAAACCATCAAATCATCTGTGATTACACCCTGCACAATATTTGTTCTACTGAGGAAGAGAAGACCTGACACAAAAAGCTGGAGCACCTGACTAATTTTTGAAAAATTACTTTCAAGTTTACCAATTCAAATTATTTGGTCCTAGACTTCCTAATTGGTTCCAGATGTCTTATATGTCTTTTTTAGAAATACTTTTGCTTTTTTTCAAAGCAACCCTATCTCTTGCTTTTTATATTATGAAAACTGATGCAAGCTTTTAATCTATCAGCAGACTCAAATCTTGTCACAAATTGTGTAGGGACCAGCATACCCCCCGTTTACATAGCCAAAAAGACTACTAGTCTCAGCAGCAATCAATGCTTTCCTGTCATAATACAATAAATAAAAAAAGATGCATTTATCACCAATTAAAAGAAGTTGATACATTAATTACCCCATTAGAATTAGAAACAGTACCATCCTGACTTGACTTCTTGTACGAAGGACTACTCTGTTGCCTATAAACTTAAGATTTTTCTTCTCTCTTGTATGTTACCAATTATATCACCATATTCCAAAGACAAGAAGATTCAATTACCCATCCATTTCAGCAAGAAGTTGATTTATAGTCTGCCTTGAATATGGATGCATTGGAGATTCAATTCGCTTTCCACCAACAGAATCTAATTCATCAATAAATATAACACAAGGAGCATTTGCTTTTGCTTCCCCTAGGAAAACAGAAAAGATTCAAATAAACTTAATGAAATTAAAACTTTTTTAACAAAAATCATATAAATATTAAAAACCTGTATGACTGTCAAAAGCCAACAAAAGATATTCATTAGGAAAAAAAATACACAAAAAGGAGTTTTGTTGTTTTCTCTCTTTTTTTTTTTTTTTTTTTTTTACTGATTAAAGGACAATTCCTAGCCTCAGAAGAAAAAGAAATTATACCATAAAGAATGATATATAATAAAAATAACTGAGCTTTACACTCATTCTTCCTAGCTTTACAAACCATCAATCAGGTTTGAAGTTAATTAGATACTACAGAAATGATGAATTGAATAAAAAAACAAAAACAAAAAAATCCAGCTTTTCTGCAGCCCCAACTACATCTAACACTTCCACTAGCTATTCTGACTATATTGGGGGAAAAGTACAAGTCTGTTTTAGCTAACACATGAAGCTCTCTGGAATCAGAACCCCACAATAGCTATTTCAGCTAAATATTCATCTTAATTAAGTAGCAAAAAGAAAGGGGTAAAAAAACCTCCTCCCCTAAAATAAAATTTAAAAAGTTAGTATTGTATGAAAGATACATTAAAACATACTAAAAAGATTTCTCCAGACCACAGGCCAACGCTCTAACCGCTGAGCCAAACTGGCCAGGGCTAAAAAGATTTCTTATGCGGCTGGCTCCCACACCCACAAACATCTCATCAAATTCTGATCCAGAGGCATAATAAAAAGGAACATCAGCTTCTCCAGCCTCAGCCTGGGAAAGAAGTGTCTTTCCTGTTCCTGGTGGTCCAACTAAAAGAATTCCTATAAAAAAAAATAAAAAATAAAACAAATTCTGATATAAATCTCAAAAAGTAATTATTAATTAATTTATATAACTCTGAGATTATATAACACATCAATGACCAATATTTTGAAACATAGCAAAATGCATTTGTTTCTACTAATGATTTGCTTCATGATCTTCTCCATAACTCATTTTCCTGTATTATCCAAATACTGTTTACATATCAGCAATAGACAGGACAGAATTCTGAGGAAAAAGAATATACACTTATCACTAAGCAAATAAGATAAAATTCACATAAAAACAGTTTAAAAGACTAAACAACAAATGTAATGCACGAACTTGGAACTAACTGATGCACTTCCATAAAACACATTTTAAAAATTCTAGGAACATCTGGATAAAAATTTGAAAAATATTGGAGAGTACATGATTACTAAGAAAATAGTGTTTGGTTTTGTTTGGTAGGATACATTATTTTTTCCCTTTTATGTAGGATAATGTCCTTACTTTTAGGTGATGCGTAACAAAATATTTAGATGTAAAGTAGTTACTATCTACAGCTTTCTTTCTAACTTCTCTGTATGTTTGAAAATTTTCATAACACATTAGAATAATACAATTTCCTGGTTTACATAACCTTTTAATTTTTCAGACTATATTTAAAAAGGTAACAAAACTGTAATTTAACACTAAAAAATGATCTTTAAGGAAAGCTCAAAAATACTCTTAAGACTATCCTTGTATTTTCATATTATTGTGGTTCCTAACTGGTTTAAATCATCACCATGTCAATTGCTGTAGATTACATCTTGATACCTGAGGATTTTCCCACAAATTTATAAAATATTCCATGTGATCAGAAAGAAAAACATAATTATTTTTATGGTTTTAAACATGCTGCCTACGATGTTACAGTAATGATTAATAAATGAACTCTAGCAAAAATTCATGCATATATTTTTATGTACTACTGAACATTCTCAGTAGATACTAGAGTAGAAAAACAAGCCTTAGCCCGGCCAGTGTGGCTCAGTGGTTGAGCGCCAACCCATGCACCAAGAGGTCCCCAATTCAATTTCCGGTCGGGTCTCATGCCCAGGTGGCAGGACAAATCCCCAGTGTGGGGCATGTGGGAGGCAGCCAATCGATGTTCTCTCATCAATGTTTCTCTCTCTCTCTCCCTCTTCCTTCCCCTCTCTCTAAAATCAATAAAGAAAAAAAGAAAATACAAGCCTTATATGAGTACCCCCTTTAACTCACCAATTCCATTTCTAGCATTGGAACCTACAATAATCTATAAATAACAAATGAATAAATCTAGAATTTGTTCTAAGGAAATAATTAAGCATAAATAATAATTAAGCAATAATTAAGACAAAGCCTTAAGATACTATGCTAATTTAAATAGTAATAGAAATTATTTAAAAGTTCAATATAAATGGATAAAGTATAGCACAACCCTTCTAGAAGGACACCATAAAGTCATTACAATTCTGCACTCAAATCCAATATGTGGGTTTTTCCCTCACATCAACAAGCAATTCTAACATCAGCAGGATATCCTACAATTCAACTCAATTCTGACACTACCTACCTAGAGATAGCATTAGATCCCACAGGTTAAGAACTCAGTCCCATAATACTGCCCCACTCTCCCCTTGAGATCCCAGTGGCAACACCAGATTGTTTCCTATGCTTCTGACCAACAAGCTAGTCAGAGGTTCCAATATCTTCCTTTTTGGGTACGATTAATTTGCTAGAGCAGTTCACAGAACTCAGAGAAACATTTACTGAGATTACTGATTTATAATAATGTATATATAACTGAAACAGTCATATGACAGGGCAGGCAAACCCCATCCTTTTAGGTTTTTATGGAGACCTCAATACATAGACAGGATTGATAAATCATTGGACACCGGGCATTGATAGCACCTCTCACTCCCCAGGGATGGAGAAATCAGTAACTGGAGGGTACTAAATGCTCCACTCTTCTAAGCACAGGGTAGGTTCTCCTGACAACCTGCCCCGATCCTCAGTGTGTTCCAAGTTACCTCAATAACACAACAAAACACACCTTTCATTGTTCTCTTCACTATAAAATTCCAAGAGTTTTAGGAACTCTGTGTTAGTAACAGGGACTAAGACTAAATATGTTTTCTATTATAAATCATAATATTATACAGTAGCTGTGAGAAAACATTAAACAAAATCAAACTGAAGAACATTCTAAAAATTTGTGTATACTCTACACAATTTTTAAGATCATAAAAAGTCCACCCAAACCACCATAAAAAAAATAAGGCTAAAAAACTGAGAAATTTTTTCAGATTAAAGAAAATTTAAATGATATGTGTGAACTTGGATTGGGTCCTGAACCAGGGGTTGGAGTGGAATGAAGGAACCTAACTACAAAGGGTATTACTGGGACAACTGCTGAAATTAGAATACGGTTGTCAATTGATAAGTTTTAGATCATCGTTACATTTCCTGATTTTAAAAACTTTACTGGAGTTATGTAAATAAAACTATCCTTATTCGTAGGAAATATACAATAAGATCTTTAGGAGTAAAGAAGCATACATGACATAATATTCAGAATTTCTCTCAACTGTTTAAAAAAATGCATGTATGTAAAGAAAGTGAATGAGCAAACAGGACAAAATATTTTAAAATTGTTGAGTTCGGGTTGAGTAGAGAGTTCTTTATCCTATTCCTGCAAATTCACTTAAGTTTGAATGATAACAAAATTTTAAATTATTTTTAAAAAAAAAGGTTACAGAAAGGTATGTTCAGAATGAGAAGTAATTTATAATAGCAATTAAAAACTAAACTTTAATCAGTTAAATCTGATAAAATTAAGTTAGTAATATAGTACAGTATTTTTTATGTCAAATCTGGTAAAGGGAAGATACTTTACCTCTTGGAAGTTTGCCTCCAAGCACAGTAAATTTTTGTGGATTTTTCAAGAATTCCACAACTTCCTGTAACTCTTGTTTAGCTTCCTCCACCTACAGTGACACAATTTAAAATAATAATTTGATTATCAAGGCATGCTCTTTGGAAATTAACTTGTTCTTTGGTTTCAGTAAAAGGGGTATACAAAAATACCCCTTTATAAATGTACAAAAAGTTTTCTCCCGGCCCTTATTGCCAATTATGCTAAGTCTCCTAATATATCCCAACAAAAGAAATTTTTAACTGCTTACATTTTTAAAAAAATATGTTTTCATTTACTTTTTAGAGAGAGATAGGAACATCAATGTGAGAGAAAAACAATTGGCCGCCTCCTGCATGGCCCCTACTAGGGATCAAGCCCTCAACCTTGGCACGTGCCCTGACTGGGAGTCAAATGGAGCCCTCAGTCCATGGGATGATCTCAATCCACTGAGCCACACAGGCTGGGCTAACTGGTCACATTTTTTAAAACTACTGCTTCCTCTAGTTAACAAAGCTATTTATTCAAAATTCTATTCAAATGTGTAAGTGGTCTCTGATCTAGCTAGTTTCAAATCCATAACTTTTTTGGACCTGGTTATAAGCTTCAAGAGCAAATTATCGAAAAATGGCGGCGGAGTGAACGGAGCTACACAGACCGTCTCCCAGAACCAAACTGGAATTACAACTATAACACAGACAAATCGACAGGAAAAAGCAACAGAAAAGCAGCTTGCCAGGACCATACAACGAGGGACACTGACTCCATCCCGGTAGGCTTGCGAAGGCGCGAGACGGGGCTGGGAGCCCACGGTCGGCAGCTCGGCAGCGGCCTTAGCTATAAGCGGCGCCCGCGGGTTACACTCCCAGGCGGCTCCAGCGCAGCCGGGACAGAGGCTGAAACAGCCACAGCCACTCACCTTGGGCTCCGGTGGAGGGAGGGCGGACTGGACTGGAACTGTGTCGGAACACTCGGGGTTTGGAGGGCGCTCAGAGCTTTGGCTGAGTGCAGCCACTCAGGACGGTGGCCACATTGCTCCTTCCCAGGGCTCTGAGGAGAGGCAGCAGCCCCTCCCTCGGAGATCCAACCCCACCCTGTGGGCCATTGAAGTGCTAATTGATCTCACTAACAACCAGCATCTGCCCCACCCTCCTGAAAGCCCCTTGGCTGAGCACCAGAGGGAGTTTTTCAATCAACTGACAACCCAAAACTGATCAATTAACCTAGACTGCTAGCCTCCAGGCAAAAAGCTAGAGGATAACAGTACGTTTCCTGGGCTGGCAACTTTAACCAGGAAAGTAAGACTTGACAGTGGTGTTCAACGCGGGTCCTCCCTCGCTCATCTAAACACAAGAGAGGGAGCCACAAACAGCAGAACACCAACACCCACAGGGAGAACTTGACAGGCTCCAAAGCCCACAGTGATAGCTAAAATGGTGAAACACAGAAACAGAAGCCAAATGAAAGAGCAAGACACCTCCACCGAAGATGAGATCAATGTGGAGCAATTAGGCATGTTAACAGAGCTAGAATTCAGAGCCATGATCTTGAGGAAGCTGAACAGCATGAGTAAGGACATAGAGACACTGAAAATAAGCCAAATGGAAATTAAAAACCAACAAGAAGAGATAAAAAATGACATATCCGAAATGAAAAACACATTGGAAGGTTTAAAAAGCAGAGTAGGGGAAGCTGAGGACCGGATCAGTGAATTAGAAGACAGGGTAGAAAAAATCAACCAATCAGAAAAACAAAAGGAAAAAACTATTAAAAAACAGGAAGACAGCTTAAGAGAACTATGGGACAACTGGAAACGTAATAATATTCGCATCATAGGAGTCCCCGAAGAAGAAGAAAAGGAGCAAGGGATAGAGAATATATTCAAAAAAATAGTGAGAGAAAATTTCCCTAATTTGGTGAAGGAAGAAGGCATTCAAGTTCAAGAAGCACAGAGAGTCCCAAGTAAGAAGAACCCAAACAGGCCCACACCAAGACACATAGTAATTAAAATGCCACAAATTAAAGACAAAGAGAGAATCCTAAAAGCAGCAAGAGATAAGCAACAGGTTACCTACAAAGGGAACCCCATAAGGCTCTCGGCTGACATCTCACAAGAAACACTACAGGCCAGAAGAGAATGGCATGAAGTAATCAAAGTCATGAAAAACAAGAATCTGAATCCAAGACTACTCTACCCAGCAAGGCTATCATTCAAAATAGAAGATCAAATAAAGAGCTTCCCAGACAAAAAAAAGCTAAGGGAATACATTAGCACCAAACCAGCACTGCAAGAAATGTTAAAAGGACTGCTGTAATTAGCAGTAGAAATGGGAAGAAAAATAGAACCACACTAAACAAAAATGGCAATAAATAAGTACATATCAATAATCACCTTAAACGTAAATGGATTGAATGCTCCCATAAAGAGACACAGAGTAGCTGATTTGATAAGAAAGCATGACTCATCTATATGTTGTTTACAAGAGACCCACCTCTCAACAAAAGACTCACATCGGTTGAAAGTGAAGGGATGGAAAAAAATTTTCCAAGCAAATGGAAAGCAAAAAAAAGCTGGGGTAGCAATTCTCATATCTGATAAAATAGATTTCAAAATGAAGACCATAACTAGAGACAAAGACGGCCACTACATAATATTGAAAGGATCTATCCAACAGGAAGATATAACCTTGATAAACATATATGCACCCAATATAGGAGCACCAAAATATATTAAAAATCTTCTGGAGGACTTCCACGGAGAAATAGACAACAATACAATCATAGCAGGGGACTTCAACACCCCGTTGACAGCACTGGATAGATCCTCTAGGCAAAAAATTAGCAAGGAAACAGAGACTCTAAATGAAGCACTAGACCAAATGGACTTAATAGATATCTACAGAGAATTACACCCCAAAACTACAGAATACACATTCTTCTCAAGTGCACATGGGACATTCTCAAAGATAGACCACATGATAGGACACAAACTAAATCTCTACAAGTTCAAGAAGATTGAAATCATATCAAGCATCTTCTCAGATCACAATGGCATGAAACTAGAAATCAATTGCAACAAGAACATGCAAAGACATTTCAACACATGGAGGCTAAATAGCATGTTATTAAACAATGAATGGGTCACCGAGGAGATCAAGGAAGAAATTAAAAAC